GTTTGCAAGAAAAACAATTAATTCAATATAAAGAAATGTCTTTACAGTAATTATACAAAAATGCATAGAGTTTTGTTTAAGCCCAGAATTCCATTTACAATGCACGATTTCTAGTTTATGCAGTTTTTTTTAAGTTTCCAAACGTCAATTAGTTTAACATATTAGCATTGAGTATAAAGCTCAAATGATTATGCTTTAATTTGATGGTAAATGTCGTTCAGGGAAATGCTAATATAGTGTTCTTCATATTTAATGCAGAAGGATGTAAATATGCTTGGAGTTATATTTAATTGTTCTTAAATAAGTACTGATTATAAAGTTATCATAGATATCTGGCTTGAAATGATGGACGCCAACTGCGCGTTTCGTCTACAAAAGACTCATCAGTGACTGACGCTCGAATAAAAAAAAGTTGAAAAGGCCAAATAAGGTACGAAGTTGGAGAGCTTCGGGGACCAAAATTTCAGAAAGGTGTTGGACAATACATAAACCATGCAAATACATGACTAATAAAAAAATGTCAAAAGAATCACCACATACGTACACCGCTTGTCATTTTTCAAAGAGCATTTGTTGTTACTCAAAGAGTAGGATTGGACTCTTAATATACCTTTGGTATCATCCGCCTCTTTTTTAAATGATTTAAATAAACTGATATCTATCTTTCTACGCAGTTTGACTAACATTTTTGAAGCTAGAACTACTAGTAATCATCGCATAAAAATTCCCGAAATCTCTAGATCTCTTAATATCGGTTAAAATTAATGATTGTTACTGTGAACATATTTTAAACGATTTATTCCTTGACCTAACTGTTATCTAAATATTCAAGATATGCTACTGAAACTTTTCTTCTATATTCACATTTTTCAGTTTGATTATTTTGAAGAAAAAAACAGTAGAGGAAGAAATAAAAAGTTAACCCTTATTATACTATCGAACTTTTTTCCCGGAGACAATGGGCGCATTTAAGTAATTACGATAGAAGGGATCATAGTTTTCCCAAAATCTCTGCATGAACATCTCTTCATATCGGTTAAAGTTGATTGTGTCAGTAAAAATATCTTAAATGTTTTGTTCCGTGATGGATCTGTTATCTAAATATACAAAATATATGACTGCGTTAGACGAAACAATTTTTCTATATACTTCGATGTTTATACAGATTTATATATGAAATCAAATCACTGCGAATCTTGAATTCAAATCTAAAACGCAAGACAAGACAAGGTTTCTGAATTCATATCAAATGATGCCAAGTTATCTAGTAATAACCCTTACTTTATTTTATACCACAATTTGATATTTTGTGGATTCAACACATTGTTTTTGTCCAACATTCATCGAAAGCAGCTCGGGTCATCAATGCCAATGCGGAGTATGTACAAAATGAGTCAAGACGTACTGAAAAACTATTTAGTATGGTACTTACATGTCACTTTTTGGTACATTTGATTCGGGGGGGGGGGGGGGGGGAGGGTGCAGGTTATTTGTTTCAAGTGGAAATGATATTTTTACTTGTGTACACGACTAATTACAGCATTTTGTTCACAGTTATCGTCCTTTGGTTTTCGTTTTGCAATTATGTTATGCATGAACTACTAGGTGGAGGGTTGAAACTTCATGTTTTAAAAAAAAATTGGGGTGATGAATTTTTATGTACAGTAGTGATTTGGTCCTCTTAAAAAGGTAAAACAAATAGTATGTCTGAAGCTGTCAAACTGAATTATAGACCCCCTTAACATATTTTGAGTAAGAGCTAATTAAAGCACCCAACATGTTTAATGGGTGATTTTAACTTCCCTAGAATAGACTGGTGTATAAATCCGGGAAAGATTGCCAAATGTTTAAGTTTTTAGTAAAGTGAATGCTTGGACTTTATAGATATTAATTTTAATAATGACTTTCACATGAAGCAGGTCAAGCTTTGTATACGTTGCAACGAGAGGAGCCAATGTATTAGACTTGATATACAAATAAGGAGATGTGGTATAATTGCCAATAAGATAACTATCCACCACATTTCACCCGAAGTGGATGTAAGCAATTATAGGCCACCGTATGGCCTTCAATATTAGGGAAGCTCTGCAAAGTTAGAAGCTGTAATAAAAGTCGGAAAATTAGGACTGTCACTTGAAAATTAAGGTATGCTGAAAATACAGAGAAGAAATCATTACTGATCATTATTCGAAAGACTGACAAACAATGGATAAAAAGACAAAAAATGAACCAATAGTGAAAAAACTGCACGTGAAACACGAACCCACCTGAAATTCTGACTGGACTTATATTAGTTGCTTCGACAGGGAACTTAGGTCCTCTACAACTATTTATTTTGGCTGTTAAGTTTGAACATAAATTTGTGTGGACGTTTTTGAATGTTTAATGTATATGCTTTGATTAATTTGATTCACGATTGCTTCCTTAAATTTCACCGCCTTAACTCAAAAGTCTTTACCACGGCGATTTTGAATGACGTTGTTTTTATTATTCCCTAATGGTGGTTAATATTTTGTTATACATTTTATGGGTGTTTTTTCAGTATCTTGTATGTTGTTCATTTATTGTGACGTTGTTTTTTTTATTTAAACTGCGTGCATTGTAACGTAATAAAATGGCTTCGGTATTTGCATGGTTTATGTGATGTATTTTGTCTTTTAATTATGAACTTTAAAATATACATGTATCATAACATACATGTATATTATGATACATGTATGTTTTAAATAATACATACTGCAATTATACTGACATTAAGTTATAACTCCCTAAGGCGTAATTTTGTGGTACTTTTCTGTTATGTGTGGGTCATTTGATTTGCTTATAACGTTTTCTTTTTCTTTTTGATTTCATTTCTTTTGGCCAGTATACTCAATGAAGATTTTTTCAAAGATACCTTGACGGTTGGAATCTTTTGTCAATTCACCGGTGCTAATTTCCGAGAGTAAAATCCGTTCGTTAGCCAGTGCATCTGTACTAGTATGATGACATGTTACATTTTATAAAAAAATCCCAGTTTATATAATGTAAAAAATATTTAGAATTAGTTTGCAACTCATTTCTCTCAGACAAAGTTGACCCTTTTTTAATTGGCTTTCTAAACTTACCGTTTTATACTTGATGAAAGTTATACAAAGATCACGCAAAAAAACATTTTTACCCCCTCCCTCTAAAGAATGATAAACAAATTCTCTCAGGAAAATTTACATACTTCGATAATGGATAAAAATTTCAAACTTCAAAAATTCAAAGATTTAGTTTAGCTCTTCAACTGTTTCGGTTCTTATAAATCCTTGGCTTTCAAATATTTGGCTTTGAACATTCCTGATGAAGTTAACAAAGAAACGCGCTTTTGACGCATGCAATTTTTGTAGCGTTGTTTTTCATTAATTAAGTATTTATGAACAAGACTAGTGTTTTTTGGTAGGATTCAGTTGAAGATAATAGATATCTTACAAAAACACACATGCTAGTGTGACATTAGAATTTTATTCATGCAAAAAAAACACAAGCACACGCTTTACACGGAAATAGCTTAACGTATTTTGTCGATTCCCTCTTTTCTAATTTCCATTTGGAAGTTAACAAATGCCTTGTTTTGCTACGTGCATTTTAACATCAATATCATGTGCTACTTACATCTGTTACATACAATACAAAGAACGTTTTGTCAGTGCAATGGGCGTGCAATGTTTGTATGACGCTAATAGAATTAAACGCAATGTGTAAAATGACAATGAATAAAGCTTTGCACCTAAAATGCACTTTTCGTGGTATAATATGCAATTAGATAAGTAATAAGATAACTTCCTCTGTGTAGTTAAACAGAGTGAAATGATTTATTCTTTACAAATTGTATTTTATTTAATCCATGTTAGTCTTGTGGGTTTTTTTTAAATTTTGGTTCATTTGTATGTTTCGGGGGTTAGTGTGATCGAACTAGTGTACATATTCTGTTTAGGGGCCTGCTGAAGCCCGCCCCCGGATGCGGTATTTTCCCGCTGCGTTGAAGACTCATTTTTGGCCTTGGGCTGTTTTCTGCTAATTGGTAGGGTTGTTGTCTCTTTGACACATTCCCCGTTTCCTTTCTCGATTCTATTTATTAAGTGGAGGTTTTCATCTTTATAAAGTATAGGCCTACACCTCACTTAATTGAAATACTTTTTTTTTATAATTGACTCCTTATTGACGGTATTCCTTTTACATGAATATTTTATAATTTTCCATTTGAGCATCAATCCTTAAAAGTATTGTAGAGATACAAAAGGGATATACAAACTCATAAGTCGAAGACAAATTGAAAACGTCATGGCAAAATATACAACAACAAAAAAACGACGAAAAGAAAAGCCGCAGTCAAAAACACACAACATAGAAGAACTAAACTAAACTAAACACTGAGCAAACAAACCCCTCCACAAAAACCGAGGTGATCTCACGTGCTCCGGAAGGGTAAGCAGCTCCTGTGTCAACTGTAATAAACAAATGTAAAAGGCAAGACAAGATCTATAAATGTCAAACTCCTCCAATAGGAATCATAACTATTTTGCAGCTTTATATTGTCATGACCTTATATCTATATATATATATTATATTGAACATTGTATTGTAAGTGTCATCAAACCCATATTTCCTGTAGGATTTGTATCAAATTATGATCAAAGATTAATATCAGGTATGTCTCGGACGAGTTATAAAATCAGCACTGATCAATTATTTTAAATCGAGTTATGTCCTTTGGAAATGTTAATTCTATGAAAAATTGCATTGTAAGCACTCTGTCGCCTACAACTCTTGTCGGATTTTTATGAAATTCATATCAAAGATTTTTATCTGCCAGTTCCTGGACGACTTTGATAATCAGCACAAACAAACTATTTTTACAGGAGATAAGACATTGAAAGTTATTTTGAAAATTGCAATGTGGCTAAATATAACTTTGAAAGAGATGAAGCGGTTTGGATATGTGTGTTGGCAATACGTTCAATGAAAAAGTGAAATCTCCACAAAATGGAAAAATGATCTGCTTTTAATGTTCTGTAGAAATATATAAATGTTATGAATTTATTACTGGCAATATGTCAGTTTAATTGTACAGATTAAATGGAATAATAGTACAGCGCATCAATAAATAACTAAGTGCAACAAGTACTATTAGTCAGATTTAGCATTCAATGTGTTATGGCATCAGAAACGCTATTGATTAAACAATTAAAATTTTTTTATAGTGCAGAAAACTTAAAGATCTTTAGCAATAACATATATTGATGAAACAAAAACATAAATCTATCAAAGACTTCAAAAAGCCAAACTTGATCGTTGCATTGTGTTTCCTTGCAGCTCTTAAGTGTAAGGTACATGAAAGCGGAGGATTAATTACATCATTTATAGCTACCAAATGTTCTGTAATATCAGATTAGATCAGAATTTGATTTAAATATCACATACACGGATGGTTTATGAATTAAGTTATGTCTACGGATATACTAATCTGCCTTATCACCAACTCCTAATTTAAAGATTTAAACACCGGTTAACACAGCGAGAGTGTCACTTCTAGACCAAGAACTGTTCTGTCTTGTTTTTACCGAGTTTTTGTTGTTAGATCGTTAGTTGTTTGTGATTTTTTGTGTTTTTTTTGGCAGCTCTACTATTTCTTTTTTCTTTTCTCAATGCCATTTTATGTGTTCTATTTCGACCTATAGGCTTGAATTCCATCTTGAAACTTCTTCAAAAATTGTTAAACTGGAAGTACAAGGCGTAAAACCTAAAAAGTATAGTTTTTTCTAAAGATAATTAACAAAAACATGGACACTTTACCATAAATAAGAACATTATGATATAGATATAACAAAATATTTTGTTTAATACCGATATCAGTACTCCTTGATGATTGCTATAACAAGGACATTACCGAAACAAGTTTCAAATAAAGACATTACTTTAAATGTTGTAAGATTACTTGGTTGACCATTTTGAAATCAATATTAAAGATAGCATAAACTATATATTACTGGCCGTAGCCAATCCAGTCTTCATTACGTAGTATATGGCTATTCAAAGATCACCATGGGTGATATTATGGATGCAACTAGATAAGTAATTTCAGCTACAAGAATCCCAAATCTTGGTGTGTTTGTCTTTTAGTCGTATTTCTTTTGGCAATGGTAATCGTTTTTTTCTTTGCTTTTTTATTACCCCTAGGTATCTTCAATGCATTCGGTATTCAAAAGCTTGCAGCTGCTACTCAGACTTTATAAAATGACGCCAGTGTCTGAACAGATAGTTGATGAACAAGGCCCTAGGGTTATGTCAAAGAACGTGTCGTGGTTCTAAAAAAAACGTTCATCGGAAGATACCAAGACCTTCTTGATAAAAAGTAAAATCACAAAAATACTAAACTCCGAGGAAAATTCAAAAAGGAAAGTCCCTAATCAACCGTATCAACTTCACAAATAATACATGATGGTCTTTAATTATAGATTCTAGGTACTGACGTTGTTTATCATCTTTTTTAGCCATGGAGTTGTCAGTTTATTTTCGATTTATGAGTTTGAATGTCCCTCTGGTATCTTTCGCCCCTCTTTAAATTTTTGATAATATTTCTTTTGGCGTGGCTCGGTATCTATATTTTCATTAGTGGTGTTGTGCTATATTCATTTTTTGTATTTTTGTCTTTCATTTTTGCTCATGCCATTTTATTTTTTTCTCTGTTAACATAGTTACTTGTTTTTATGGTGATTAAGATTATAACACAATGTTGACTGCTGTACTCCTATTTTTGACATGTTTGTCTATAATGTCTGTTTGTTTTGCTCACACATTGTTGTTAATATAATGGAATTATATGCGACTGTCATACAATTGAGAGGGTTAGCTAGCTATAAAACCAAGTTTAATCCATCATTTTCTACACAAGGAAATGCCTGTACCAAGTCAGAATTATAACAGTTGTTTTCCATACGTTGATTTGTTTGAGCTTTGATTTTACCATTTTATAATGGACTTTTCGGTTTGAATTTTCCTTGGAGTTTGGTATTTTTGTTATTTTGTTATTTTAACTATCGTTCATTGAAGATCAAGGGCATTTAATACGTATAATCAATTGTCCACATTTTTTTCAATAATCATTCAGATTATTGTAAACAAGAGTCAAATATTCATGTTTACTTTAGTCAGTTTTCCAGTCTGTTTTTTTTCACAGCATATTGTCCGCCTCATTCAAGTGTAAATGTTGGTCGTTTTTCATTCATTGAAGAATCATTCATCATACATGGGTCATGGTTATTGTTAGTGGACACTTCTTCGGAAGTAGGCTTTGAATCAATATTACAATGCTTGACCATCAATAAAGGATAAATTCCCGACTGAAGATCAGATGACATTCTTGAATTAGATTTTCCTTTCATTTGATTACTACTGTTTAAAAATGAACTTTTTTTTGTTGATGTTAGTGAATAAGTAGTAAGATAATTGTTGAAACAACATACTAATTCGCGATAAGCCTGTCTAAACTGAGAGTTCATAAGTCCGTATACTAAAGGATTCGCAGCACTTCCCAAATAGATTGAAATTTGACAAAACATATGATACTGTTTCGACAATACAATATTCCAGTCGATCATCCCAGTAACTGTGCACGGAAAGTAAGAGAGAGAAAACACCAGAAAAATTATCAGCATCATCCTGGTCATGTGCATTTCTTTTGCATGATTGTGTACATCTAGTGACGATGGATTGCGTCCAATTTTACCAATGCGCTGGTGACTTTTCCTTGTCGTATGATATATCCGTGCGTAGTAATACACTATAAGAAAACATGGGAGAACAGCACGTACTACCATCAAGAATATTTTGAATAATTGACTTCTGTGATCAAGTAATAGATTACACGTGACCATCATTGGAACATATCCAAATTGTCCCCATATACCAACCAAAGCTGGAATGAGGCACACAGCTGGTACCAACCATGCAACCATCAACATCAAGATAATATTTCTACGTGTATATAGCTGTTTGTATGCTCCTATATCTAATACCAATTTGTAGCGGTTAAAAGCAATCAGTGTAAGTGTTATAATTGTTGTTCCTGAAAATAAAAAAATAAAAGATGAAGTTGAAGAACATTAATTGCCTTCCTGTAATACTGTGAAAACTTTTTTTAAATTTTACTAGGGCTTGAATAAACTCATCTTAAATACTAGGCTTACAATAAAAAGTAAAATAAAACAAATAACGAAGGATACAAATGATACATCAGTGACGCTCGAATAAAAAAAGTTAAAAATGCCAAGTAAACTGCGAAGTGGAAGAGCATTGAGGATCACAAATGTTGAAAGGGTTTTGCCAAACACAGCTAAATTAATCTATTCCTGTGGTTAATAATCCTTAGTATTTCGAAAAATTCAAAGTTTTGTAATCAATTAATTCATAATTATAACCATATCAATGATAATTCATGTCAAGACAGATATGCTGACTACTGTGCTGGTGATACCATCCGGGAGGACCCCCCCCCCCCCCCCCAGGAGTGTCATCGACACAATGGTTGTAAATAAACTCATCATAAATACAAGGCTTAAAATTGTGTATACCACACGCGCGTTTCGTCTTCAAAAGACTCATCAGTGCCGATCGATTAAATAAAAAGTTAAAAAGGTCAAATAAAGTACGAAGTGGAAAAGAATTGAGGAACCAAATTCCGAAACGGTTGTGCAAAACACAGCTACGGGTAATCTATTCCTGCAGTAGAAAATCATTAGTATTTCGAAAAATTCAAAGTTTGGTAAACAGTTAATTTTAAACTATGACCATATCAATGATAATTCATGTCAATATAGAAGTGTTGACTACTAGGCTGATGATACCCTCGAGGAGGAAAACTCCAACAGCAGTGTTTGTAAATAAACGCATCATAAATACAAGTTAATTAAAGTTCGTGTTTTTTTATGGATGGATATTTTCCATGACATTTAAACCCGACGAAATAGTAACCTACACACAACATTACTTTCTCAAATTAAAACCACGAAAGTTATGAGAAAATATTTACATCATTTTAATGAAATAGTGAAAGAATAATTGAACGAAAATCAAAAACTGCAGTATTAGAGAAGGTTTACAAGGTCAAAATGGTATATATGAATTGTTAACATATGTTTCTATGGGCTTTAAAAGTTTAATGTAGGTGCATAATTTTGGATTGTTTGCATCTCATACGTTTGTAAAGTTAGAATTTAGTATGGAGCTTCGAGACATTTGTAAACTTTTAAAGTAAAGAAAAAGCAGTCGATCATGGTAGTTGCAAATACATGTGGATCTTTTTTGTGCATGAGCATAAACTCTGCCGGAAAAAAATATTTAACAGAAAGATAACAGATTGATCTTTTTAAAGCATTTATTTGTATCTCTGCCTCCGGCAACAGGTTTTTGGGAAACATCTTAATAATGGGAAATAATCTCATCGATAAAGACATTTGGGTACCCCTTTTTATGTTCAGACGTGTTAGTTGACTGTTTTGTCTTCAAAACGTATTAAGCAAAACATATTTGATACATCATCTCACTTCAAATTCCATTGTTTTTATATATCTGGGCTACGTGTTGATATCATAACACTAAAAGAGGGACGAAAGATACCAGAGGGACAGTCAAACTCATAGATCGAAAACAAACTGACAACGCCATGGCCAAAAATAAAAAGACAAACAGACAAATAATAGTACAAATGACACAACATAGAAAACTAAAGACTAAGCAACACGAACTCCACCAAAAACTGGGGGTGATCTCAGGTGCTCCGGAAGGGTAAGCAGATCCTGCTCCACATGTGGCACCAACAGTGTTGCTTATGTTATTACAAATCCGGTAAATTGTCTTATTCGGCAAGTCACATTCGTGAAAAGGGAAGGGTATTGTAGTTACGACATAATGAACATATCCGATATCATCTGTGAAACGGTTATTCCATAACGGTCAACCAACTCGTGATTGCGCCCGTAAAATTTACGAAGGGATGATTTCAACTTCACCATTTGGAACTCTTGGCTTAATAGCTTCCTTGTGAGCAGCAATCTTCTATCAAGGAAATCATGATAGGAAACACAAGCCCGGGAATATCGTATCAATTGGGAGATATATACTCCGTATGCAGGCGCTGCTGGAATGTTGCTACATAGAAATGGAAAGTTCACAATTGGGAAGCTGAAATCATTTCTTTTGTCGTAAAGAGAGTTTTCAACCGACCCTCATTGTCAATTTCTAGATGTAAGTCAAGATATGAGGCAGACTTAACTGTATCTGTAGTATCCTTTATCTCTAGTTCGATGGGATAGGTTCGTTCAACATAGTCACCAAATTTTGTATTATTTAGTGAGAGAACATCATCTATATAGCGGAACGTAGAGTTAACGGATATTGCTAACTTCTTATCTTTCTTCCTAAAAAGTTCCTGTATGAAGTCAGCCTCATAATAATAAAGAAACAAGTCTGCAAGAAGAGGGGCACAATTGGTTCCCATTGGAATTCCGACAGTCTGTTGAAAATCACGTCCTCCAAACGTATCAAATATAATGTCAATCAAGAAATCAAGTATCTTGATGATGTCAGTTTCAGAGAATTGTTTGTTTGAATCAGAGTGATTCTTTACAAAGTAGGATTTATCCTTCCCCAAGACAAGATACTTGTATCTACGTTCGCCATTCTTTTTAATGAAACAAAGTAATACGAACTCTTTCAATTTGTCTTTTAGTTTGGAATGGGGAATACTTGTGTAAAGTGTAGAAAAGTCAAATGGTTTGATACTATTGCAAGATGAGAGAGTCTTAGATTGTATGTACTCTAAAAGATCTTTGGAATTTTTTAGTATCCACATCTGATTCACGCCACCTCTAGAATAGGCAGTTTCACAATAACTTTGGAGCCCGGCTTTGATTGCTGATAAAATAGATGTTAATAATTTAGAAAGAGGTTTCGTGGAGCGCTTGGAAGACCCAGCAATATACCGTTGTTTGTAAGGACACTTATGTAGTTTAGGTATCCAATACAGTGATGGAAGATCCAGTTCTTCATCTTTGGTTGAAATTCCAAAGGAACATAGAACAGACCTATGATTATCCAGGATTTCCTCTTTGGTAAGTGTCGTGAGGGTATATGTTGAGTTTCCAAGTGAATTGTCAATACCTAATTCATTTATCAAGCAGTTTATTTAATGATATTTACACACAAAAACGATGTTGTTTGGGGCTTTATCTGCGGGGACAACAACATATTTGTCATGGAGGTAGGACAAGTGTTTTGCAACATTTGGGTCTTTAAAAATTGATGTAGCTTGGGTATTGATATGCCCATTTAGTTTCTTAATTCGGATTTGTATCAACGACCTCACAGCCTTAATCCATTCGGAAAGAGTATCTACGTCTTCTTTCTCGCGTTTAGCCCATTGCCTGGCATAATCCTCAAAAATACACAGCAACCAAGAAATAAAGTATATGGGTCAAGAGAAATACCTTTCTAATGAGTCTTAACAACAGAGTATGTGTTTTTGAATAAAAACCTTCCCGCTACTACAAATGTTAAAATTTGAGGTGTACTTCTTACTTGTATTGTATTTTATTTTCGTACACTCATTTTTCAATAAAAAGTTAGTCATATTGATTATTTTTCCTTGAAATGTACTAAAAAATGAAAGAAGTAATGTAGGACACACCATGCACTAACACCCTGTAACATTTTACTGATAACCCTTGACGACAGACTTTACAAGTGGATCTTAAAAATGCATAACTTCAAACAAAAAGTTCTGTGTGTGTATTATCTAAGGTAATTTGTCTTCAACCCCTCTACCCTTCCATGAAATATTTGATTTTTTTAAACTTTCGCAAATTCACCCTGATAACTAATCAGACAATAATTTTAAGTTGAAAAAAGGCATAAAAGTACATTACATGATGCTTAATAGTTAGTAGATACATTTGTGTTTTGAAATACAACTTTCATGTAAGAATGATAATGATGCTATGTAGATAAATTTATCTGTTTTCAAGAGCTAAACTGACAGCGCGTCATCCCTACAATGGCTTCCATTTTCGTATTGAAAATAAATAGGTGGCGTAATGGGGAAATAATTTTGACGAAGTAGAATTCTTACTGAGAAAGTACTCAGTAATTGATATTTTAGAATTATATGATATGTAATCGATAAAAGAGAGGCGAACGATACCAATGGGGCATTCACACTTATAAGTCGAAACATAACATCTTCACTGAATTCGATGCACTTATTTATTAATTGTTTCATTTTACTGATCTGTTGCTTTCCATTTTTTTTATTCAGGCTTTCTGCTTTTACATATGTTGTCAGGTGTTGAATTAATGACAATTTACATGTGTTTATCTTAACAAAAAGAAAATTTTACCAATGGTAATGCTATTAGTTTTAAATCGATCAAATGTTAACTTATATTTTTTGTAGTAATTATTTTTAATTTGGCAATTTTAAGGCTATCTCGAATTCACCGCAGTTATAATTAAAAAGATGCGTTTTCATAAAGAACACTTTAAACTGAATTCTTGTCAATGTAACAATGCCTGTTTTGAAATATGAATTCATTTACTTACCAGTTAATGTATATCCCCAAAAGCCAACCAATTTGCATAGAGTAGATGTTGTATACCAACCATCGGAAATATATGTGTAGATGTTAAAAGGTAATACACATCCCAAAAGTAATAGATCGCAAACTGCTAAATTCATTACAAAGACATTTGATATTGTCTGTAACTTCTTCTTTTTCTTTATGGCTAAAATTACCATGATATTGCCTGAAATAATAAAGTTAAGATTATTACAATAAATTATAGAATTTTGAATGTCAAAATCACCATAATTTTTGTTTGAATTTCTCATTTTAATCTCTTTTTGAAATAATAAGTCCTGGAACAACACACAGAGATACTTTCATTTTGGACAAGTTTATGTGCAAGAAAGAAAATGAAACGAGAATAATAATAGTAATGATAGTATTGAAGACAGACAAAAAAAACCAGAAATCTTCAAACGACAAAATTACACAAGTACAGAGTTTATATAGAAAAAAGATGAAAGATCCAATTTGTTTGTTTCCAAATACTTTTAGAGAGAGACTAATTGATTGAATATTTTTGCTTAACGCCACCTTAGCACAAATATGTTTTATTATGGCGATCCAATATTAAGGGAATTAATATTTATCAACCAAAAAACCAGACGCAAAAATTGAGCAACAACAGTATGTAAAATAGTTCTATTCAGCGAAAAGAAAGCTTTGAAAAGACAATCCCTGATTTGTTATATACATTATATAAACATTTAGAGCTAAATTCCTAAAGTGGAATAACACTCCAATAATGAATCTATAATTATGTGATAAAGTGAAGTGAACAGTTTGTCCATTTACGGTAACTATATTCGTGATGAAAGAAATGTGTGAGCTATGAAAATAATACGTTCTATGAAATCTGATACCTCCCTTCAAAAATGTATACTCGGTAAGAATGAGCCAACAGAACATCAATATCAAAGTAAGAAATATTAACAAAAGAAAAGAAAATTCCTCTCGTTTGTTTTGAGTTGTTGTATGAAGATTACCATGATAAATTGTTTTTTTTGTGAAAATCATCGATCATTGTCAATGTTGGATTTAGTAATTTTCAACTTTAGAGGAATACATTTTATTTGTATATTCAGAAACGAATGTGATTGTTCATAGAAAAAAAAATATCTTAACATCTTAAAGTATTGTTGAAACTAGCAATCAGAATAAATTTCATTGTGTATGATTCCCATCGAATTCCAATCTTTGACGGTATAGTTTATCATAATGAAAAAATAAGTTCAACCAAATCTTAGTATCTTCAATTAGCATTTTATAATTAAAATAGAAATTGTAACAACTGTAGCACATATAACTGCCTTTTATCAAAAGACCATTTAAAGAAATAGGAGAATTTATAATTGATAAAATTAAGTTGTAGTGTAGTATAGACAGTAAGTAAAGTATCAACGGAGAAAAACTGACCGAATACCAATGTTACTTAGCCAACACTTTGAATGAGTTTTGTTCTTCACAAGTGGTTAATACCACTTTTGATATAAACATAGGCTATACAATTAAGATGAGATTTGTTTAAAACAAACTTATAATTCATTTTTTTAAATGATCCCTGTTTTAATTCTTTATCAAGAGAACACGCATATCTGATGTTTTACTCTGACACATTCAATGACTTGTCAGAGAAATAATCAGTGGACCATTAATTCATTAATATATATATACAAGCACGCACCAGATTTATAATGTGTTATTTTCATTTGTTATCAATAATGAGTGCAATCAGTTTATTCGAGAGTGAACAAAATAAACAGCAATTCGTAAGCATCCTGTGCAGATGACAATTAGATTGAACAATGCCAATGGCAGAGTAATCATAAATAATAGTAATATCAAATGAATATGTTGTGGGCGTTTCTTAATATGGGATTGCAGATTTAATAAAAATTTAAATATTGTTTTCCCATTTAGTAACATAAACTTTGATTTTCAGCTTACCGATAATATCCTGCTTTTTTAATGATAATTTCCTGTTTTGAAGGGGCATTGCTTACGAATTAGACAAAACATTTGAAATACGATTCTTTTTGCTTTAAGTATTAATAAAAGCGGAAATTTGAAATAAAATTTTGTTACAAGCGATCAGTTTGGCCCAGATTTGTCAAAATAACATCAAAAACATCGCTCATGTATTATTCACCTGCAAGACAATAATATAACCTCATTGAATCCGTTTTCATGTCAACTTCAATTGAAACTCTTAGCTGAAGATGGTTTACGCATCTACTAAACTTGTTCAACTATTAAAAGGAAAAGAATGTCAACATTGAAAGTGAAACAGGGGTGACTGATTCGATCCACAAAAAAATCATTCTTATACAGGTAAACACGATGATTAACATATTTTTTTAACCTATATTATGAAATCAAACAGACCTAGAATAATCTAATTGCACGTGGTCACTATCTATTTATATCTATATTTATGCTTATATCGAGTTATATGACTGTCGGCAGTCTTCGGAATTCATCTCGATGGTGAATTATATGGCGTCTAGATTAAAATACACACCACGATGATACATATCAGCGAATCCATGTATTGCTAATTGTTTATTTTAGACTTTTTTTGTAATTTTGATATACGTTTTAGTATGTTATAAATCAAATATGAGAATTTGAGTGAAATCCGTGAACATGAATTTGACAAGTGCTAAAACACTGTTGATTATCAGTATGTGATACATTTCTATACAACAACGTAAACTTGAGGTATGTCAATGAGTTCTATTTTACAAGACATCTCATTCATAATGATTTTTACTATAGAAAACTAAATTTTCGAAACACACATATGAAGTATAAAATTAAAATTAGTACTTTGGTGTTACGTCATCATTTTTTTTTTTTATCTCAAACCCAACGTCCAGTAGAGTTTTCTCGTGTCGAATATGTACACAAATTTTCATCGACAATTATACTGATCTAAAAGTAAAATAACAAAAATCCCGAATTCCAAAGAGAATTCAAAACGGAAAGTCCTTTATCAAATGGCAAAATCAAAATCTCAAACACATCAAACGAATGGAAAACAACTGTCATATTCCTGACTTGGTACAGGCATGTAGAAAATGGTGGATTGAACCTGGTTTTGTAGCTAGCTAAACCTCTCACTTGTATAACAGTCGCATAAAATTCCATTATATTGACAACAATGTGTGAACAAATCAAACAGACATAATAGGTAAAAATGTCAAAAAAGGGGTACAGTAGTCAACACTCTGTTATAATCTTAAAGACCAAACAAACAAACACATATGTGAACAAAGAAAAACAAAATGGCATATAGAAAAAGCATATAAGCAAAAATGAAAGACAGGAATAGAAAAAATGACCATAGCACAATAACACAATGGCGGGATGTATAAGTACCGAGCCACGCCAAAAGGATATTACCAACAAAATGGACTAAACAGTAAAGGATGATAATTTACAAAGACAAATAAAAGAACAATATAACACGTTATTAAGATGATAAACAACTTCATTACCTAGAATCTATACTTCAAGACCATCATGTATTATTTGTGAAGTTGATACAGAATATTTATCAACAAGGTCTTGGTATCTTCCGATATCCAAAGTGTCTTCTAATCTTGATGATCCCTGACCATCTAACAAATTATTTTCCACCATAACACCACTTCTTCTGAATTTTGTTTGTTTGCCATTTATACGTTTGAATTGATAGAAAACACAAAGGGATAGAGATATGTAACCTTATTGGAATTCAGTAAAACTTGTTTCTGTGCATATGAAATTAATCAAGGAAATCATCGTTTCAAGGAAAAATGTGCATGCTAGAAGCTTCTTTACAGTTGAATTCTATTTTTACAATTATGTGATATCCGCTGAGAGGTAAAAGAGGACTTGCACAAAGTTTGTTGACTATGTTGAATGCATCTATTCCATCGAACTTGAAATCAAGGATACAACAGATACAGTTAAGTCTGCCTCATATCTTGACTCACATCTAGGAATTGACAATGAGGGTCGGTTGAGAACTAAACTTTACTACAAAAAAGATGATTTAGCTATCAAATTGTAAACTTTTCATTTTAAAGAATCAACATTCCAGCAGCACCTCAATATGGAGTATAGATCTCCTAGTTGATACGATATTCCGGAGCTTGCATTTCATATCATGACTCCCTTGATAGGTGGTTGCTGCTTACAAGGAAGCTATTGAACCAAAAATTCCAAGTGGTGAAGTTGAAGTCAACCCTTCGAAAATTCTACGGACGCCATCACGAATTGATTAACCATGAAGAAATATCTGTTTCACAGATGACGATGGAGGTGTTCCGACTGTTGTAACCACAATCCCGTCTTCTTTACCTCGAATGTGACCTACCCAATCAGACTTATCACCGAGTTTGTACTTACATGAGGAACACGACAGGTGCCATATGGGGAGCAGGATCTGCTTACCGTTCCGAAGCACCTGAGATCACCCCCGGGTTTTGGTGGGGTTCGTGTTGCTCAGTCTTTAGTTTTTTATGTTATGTTAAGTGTACTGCTGTTTATCTTTTCGTCGTTTTTATTTTTTTGCCATGGCGTTGTCTGTTTGTTTTGGACGTATGCGTTTGAATTTCTCTTGGCTATCTTTCGCCTCTCTTTGAAAATAGTCGATCAAAACAACACAGATAGTGTTTTTTTTAGATAAAGTAATTTCATTTACAATTAAATCCTGCTGAGGAGTATGTAGAAAGATAGAAATAAGAAGATGTGTTATAAGTGCCAATGAGACAACTTTCCATCCAAGTCACAATGTGTAACAAGTAAACAATTATAGATCAAAGTACGGCCTTCAACACGGAGCCTTGGCTCACACCGAACAGCAAGCTATAAACGGCCCCAAACTAACTAGTGTAAAACAATTAAAACAGGAAAACTAACGGTCCAATCTATATAAAAAACGAGAAACGAGAAACACTTATGCACCACATCAACAAACGACAACCACTGAACAACATGCTCCTGACTTAGAACAGGTGCATACGAATGCAGCTGGTTTAAACGTTTTAACAGGCGCCAACCGTCATCCTTACCTGAAACAGTAGTGTAACATTACAACATAAAAAGACACGCTATAAAATATCAATTGAAATGGCTTAACTCGATCATAAAGACCTATAAACAAAATCAAGTAAACATACACTGAACGAATAAATTTGATCTATGACACAATATAAATACAATATTAATAAAAAAAGATGTAAAACAATGCCAGAAAGACATCTATAACCTGTGACAAAATGGCGTTAAATAAGATAACGTACACAGTTAAATTTGAATATAATAATTTTGTTGTTAGAAGTACGGACATATTTACAAAATAAATAAATTTTTTGTTCACAGTACGAGTACAGAAGTGAAAATTTATCGTCATACTAAAGTCTTGATTGATTTCTAAACGATTTTGTTATGTCGCATTCGGTATTGACATAATTGAAGAAAACAGGACGGAATTTTTTGATACGACAAGTTGAACAAATTCGTGGTAGTCTGTGACACAGATATTTCATAAAAAATTAAAATATCGATACAGAGGACAGTGTAACCCATGGCATAAGAATATATGCACCTGGAGTGCAAGCGGGTGATAAACGATTCCATAAATCATTTCATAAGTATTCATGAAAACATACGTGTGTTACCGTGCGACATACGGAAAATTGCTTAGTTTTCACGATTGAAAATAATTTTACCCTGGAAAAGCTGATCGATAAAAAATGTATTTCAATAGAAAAAGAGACAGTTTTTAAAGGACCTTATATCGTATAAAAATGGTAAATGCTACTTTAACCATATATTAGTTATTGCTATATATACACGAATTGACTGCATGACCAACTGCTGAATGAATAGTATGATTGGTTAACAATTGCTAACCATAATAAAATTGAGAATGGAAATGGGGAATGTGTCAAAGAGACAACAACTCGACCATAGAGCAGACAAAAGACATGTTTTTGGACGAGCGAACAAAATATAACTCTTTGATTTCGGACGATTTTTCATCTGTATTTTTTTCTCACCAAAAACTGATAATACCAATAATAGACTACAAGTACGTTGAAAGGAAAAAAAATGAAAATCCAAAGCTTATAAATAAAAAAAAAGTATGAAGTACAATTGGTTCATGTTTTGAAGAAATGTAAAAATATCATTCACATAAATTCAATAAATGAGAGGCTGAAAGATACCAATTATAGTAAATATAACCAAAAGTAGTTTACCGATGTTCAAATCTCATAAATCGATTAAAAAGACAAATCAAGGTAACTGACAAAAACTGAGGAAATTGCATTCTTCAAAGGGATATGAAAAAGGGAGTTGAAAAACATATATCGTATCGGTCAACCAACTCTTGACAGTGACCGTTAACCTATAAAGTGTCGATTTCAGTCGTTCTACCATTTGACTTTTTTGTGTTAGGAACCCATCCCTGCTAACGAAGTCCGTATAACATGAACATGTCAGGCCGTAACGTATCAATCAAGATATGTATACACAATACGATTGAACAGAAGGCTTGTTACTGCTGAAAAAAATGGTTGACAATTTGTCATAGTTTTCGTCCATCTGTGTCAATGTCAAGGAAAGAGAAAGATATGAAATAGATCTTCTAGATTTTGAAGTATCCTTGATTCAAGTTCACTGGGATATATGAGATAGATGCATTTATCTAAATTTTGGCAAATTGAGAGACAGAACATCAATCATATATATGGAAGTGAAATTTAGGAAATTTGCAAGATGTTTTTTTTTTTCTTTTTGTCTTTGAGAAGATTGTGTATGAGTTCTTCTTTACATGTGCGTTTTGGTGATATCAACCTCTTTATATTTGTTTTTGAATTCTGTGCGATGCGTCGCAAAGTAAGATTTTTTATGACCTAAACAAGAAAGTTGTATCTACGATTCCCGTTTTTATAGAAAAAGCTCTGTTCAATGAGATAATGTATTTGATCTTTCAATGAAACATAGAAAAAAATGGTGTAAAGCGTAAAAAAAATCAAAAATTATGATATTACTGCAAAATAGTAAAGAATAGGATCAAAACTTTTGCAGTAGACCTGAACAATTTTTAAGAATCCACTGCTGATTGACGCCACTCGTTAAATATACCTACATTTTTGTCGTGAAGATAGGATAAAGTATCCACAACCTCAGGTCTCTAAAAAGATAAGAAGCCCATGTGCTCATTGTACGTCGCAGATTTTGATTTTGTAAACAAGAACGGATATTATATACATATATAAGTAGGTGTACATCACAACTCAAAACCGATCAGTATCTTTTGACAATCGTAAACTATGATGACGCTAACAAGGCTTTATAAGCCTCTTTAATCTCTATAGATTTGCAGAAGTTAAATATCAAAATACCTGTGCATCCAACACCAATAACAAGTCCCACAAGAGTCACTGCCAGAAGTACCCATGCGTCCTGATTGACGAGTATCTCAAATGTTTTGTAATTTGGTCTTGTTTCTGTGATGTTTAAAGCATTTGCCAAAAGCTTCATGTTCAAAGTTCTGCAGTATTTGGTATCTGAAGAAGACAAAAGTGAGATCATATTACCTTTCTCTGTTATATATAACATTGATATAGAATAATTTTAATAAACCTCTGTTTCATAATAGGATCGGTTATTTAATAAGTGTGAGCACAGAGTGGGTTTAATCTAAGAACTGTAAATATAAACAACTTTTAACCTCTTTGAACGGAATATCGCCCAAGAAATGAATGAAAGTTATAGCCAGTTTGATAATCTAATTTTTCCACACCTATAAATGAATTGTCAAAATAATACAGATTTTCAAACATCATGATGTCACGTAGCACACGAATGACATGGTCAATCAAAGAAAGAATATACCATATTACATTAGCACTATATAACACATCATGTGGTATAAGAAACTCTTTAGATTTTTGTTCTTTCAATTGACAAGTTCCGTTTTAGTTGCAGTTCAGTGTTTAGTTCATGTGTTTGATGTACGAATAAAAAAATTACCCATAATACTTCAGATATTAAAAAAAAGACTGAAAAGTTGATGTACTATTACAGATAATTTTTTAATAATATTTAGAACAATTTTAAACTAATTTCTTTTGACAATTGTTTTCAAAAGATAACACCATTTCGTCTGATTATTATTGATTGCCATTTAAGATTTTTAATTGATAAAAAAGACAGAAATGGAGAGAGAGCTTTTATAATTGACTATGCGGTACGGGTTTTGCTCAATGTTGAAAGCCGTCCGGTAACTTTTAGATGTTAACTTTTACGTCATTTGGTGTCTGGTGGAGAGTTGTCTCATTGGCAATCATATCACATCTTCTTATTTTATAACGCTTTGTACAGTTCAAGTGTTAAAATAAATAGTAGAGAGCAAAAGTACGAGGATAACCCAATTTTATACTATGAAACTTTATTCATAGTCATGGAAAACGGAGGATAAATGATAGTGTTAGGCTTAGAAGTATTCATCGTCGTAAATTTCTTCAAATTGCTCTTAATATCGGCTAAAGTTAATTATTGTAACAGTAGAAAATATTTAAGGCGTCTTATTCCGTGATTAACATTTATTCCGTAATGGAACTGTTATCTAGATATACAATTCAAGTATTCTGCAGTAAGCATACAAATATACAACTGGGATCGATAAAGCAAATTCTCTATATCTTCAATATAAAGTCAGCTTCAATCATATGAAATTATCGTCAAACTTGAATTCAATTCCAGAATGAAAGACAAGATAAGGTTTTTGAATAAACAGTACACTTTAAGACAGACTTAGATAAATTCCTTGACAGAAATTGTGTTTGTCATGAAACACATATGGACAGACACAATAATACAGTTTGCAACTCTGCTGTGAAAATTAGGAACAACTGATAAATAGTAATGAATTGATTTACATAGCAGTGTTATCATTTATCAGCAAAAAGTTCAGATTTTGGCAATTAAACCAGAAAAATACAAGATAGTACAGCGATTCATATTGTCATACAAAAGCAGAGATAAGATATCAATTTGATGACAGAAAAATAGATCCAGTCAATATTTCATTCCAAATCCATAACACAAAACAACTCTGAAGGTGTTACTGCATCAGAAAAATTTGAGATAATGACACTTTTCCTCAGAAAACGCCCCTCAGATATGAGAAGCCTAAATCTAATTCTTACACATAACTTCAGATGGTTATCATGAATATCTACCTTAGAGTCTGAAATTAAACATTTCTACAGATTCTATCATGAAAATTGAATTCTTGAATACTTTTATTTTTTGGTATTTTAAGAATGGAAACTGTTTGAAAATTTATTTACACATATGTAACTGTATGAGTTTGAAATTTTCATATTTACTCCTATTCAATATAAATTATATGATAGTTTATACACAATATATATGTGCATTTAATCCAAAATTTTATTGAAAAAAACATTGAGAATAAGTCTTCTTGTTAAGATAAAAAGTTGTGTATGACAGTTGTATTTGTGAAATATATCTTTCAGCTGCTATCTCTAAACAATTGAAGTGCTATATATAGATGCGACGATTGGTGAAAAGGGAATAATAGTAGTTTCAATATATATCTTTTTACAATTTAAAATATCAAAAATAATTTAGAATTATTCTGAGACTAGTCATATTAACGTTATTTTTTTATTTTTTTATTACTGAAGATTTTGTATTATTTTTTCTCATTTAATTAGGATTTTGCTTGGTGCATGTTTTTAGTATTTGCATTTTGATGTTCGTTGGATTCAATATAAATAAGAAGATGTGGTATGAGTGCCAATGAGTCAATACCAGTTCTAAAAAATCATCGTTTGAAATTAGCCAAAATCTCTATTGATATCTGTTAAAGTTAATGATTGTAACGTTAGAAATTATTCTAAACGTTTTGTTCTGTGATTAAACTGTTATTTAAATATACATTTAACGTGTTCTGAGGTAAGCATACAAGATATACAGCTGCGATAAGTGAAGCATTTGTTCTATATTCGTCGATGTAAAGTCAGATTTATAAATCATATGAAATCATCCTCATTCTTGGATTCAGTTCCAAAATTCAAAACGAGACAAGTTTTCCAAATTCATATCAAATAATGCCAAGTAATCTGTTAAATAAGTAAAACATCTTACCACAATGAAATACTTTGCGCATTCAGAAACTACAGAAAATGAATGCTTCTACTCTCCAGATTTCATTCAGTCTGCCATTGAATGGAGCGTTCATATTGTGTGGTATCTTTTTTTTTTAAATTACCAATGAAGTGGGCAATTGTATTAGAGTGTATCAAAACCCATAGCCTAGAGCAAGGAAATGATGTGACCATAGCATTAAAAAACAGATCTTAATTAGAAATAGTTACGAAAAGTGATACTTAATGATCTCGATGAATCCGTTTATTTTACCAGAAAGCGAGTAATATGACAAACATAAGTTTCGTAGTACCGACACCAAAAAGTGTGTTTTTTTTCAAAAATAGAAGTTCTTTTTGAAATGATGAGTAAGCTTCTTTATGGAGTTTTGTGTTTGTTTCCAAAGTTCAGTTGGTTTGTCAAATTAGCGTTTTCGTATGTAGATCAAATGCATTTGTTTTCATTTTTCTGGATCCTGTTGTTGACGAACACATTAAAATTATCACATTTTCAACCCTTCAACTGGTTGGTTCTCTTGTGGTTGTGCTAGATAGTTTTTACCTCCTGTGATTAAATAATATACATGTGTTCTGTGCAATTTTTGTTTGTTTTTTATCCGCCATACATTGAAAAGCTCATTATTCATTTTAGGTCATTTGGGAAATCGCCCATACAGTAATTATCTTTGTCCTACATTTTTCAGTTCATTAAACTTTAATCTTTATGTCATGAAATGCCCTTTAAAAATAATGCCGTCAGTCGTATATAATAGAAATTGTCAAATGTAATGTGTTAAAGGACGACCCAAGAGGAAAGTATGACACAATCAATCGTTTGATTTAACCTTTTATAATGGTACAAGATCCATGCAAAATTTGAGATTTAAAAAGTCGGTCACTTGTGAATGGTAGATACAAACCATTATTTATTTTTTTTAATGAAATTCTGCTGTTTAAAAAAAAAAATCCGGAAAATGACAATTAACAGTCATCATGCAAATTAATTTTATAATCTAGTTAAATCTTATCATCAAAAAATTTTTTTGCGCGGATATGAATAATAAATGCTATTACGGTCGAGATTAGATTCAGCCTGCCATCATTGCAGCGTCCATATTTAGGTTCTAAGTTTTCCTAATTTGTTAAAATAAAATCAAAATGAAAAGCGCAATACATAACATGCATAGTAATTAAAGTATAAATATAACCGAAAATTGATACCTTTGAACTCTTTCGAATTGGGTAAATTCCTTTTTAATTTGCCAATATGCATAGATTATTTTTTAGTCCAAAATTCCTTTTAAAAAAGTACGACTGCTAGTTTATGCAGTTTGTTTAGTTTCAAGACGTCAATTAGTTTGTCAAGTTAGCATTTAGTATTAAGCTAAAATGAATTTACGTTTATTTGTTTGTTAATGTCGTTCAGGGTCATGAATAATTTAGTGTACTACAGATGCAGGAGGAAGTAATCAGACTTGGAGTTGTATTTAATTGTTCGTATATCATTACCCAGTAACATTTATCAATACATGACAAATAAAAAAAATCATAAAAAAATCACCGCATATGTTCAGTTTTAATTTTCAAACAATATCTGCATCGTTGATAAGTATTTCTCATTTTGAAAAATTCATATACAATTATTTCATTAGTTTTGTGCTTTGTGATTTTTTAGCTTCCTCGAAACGGTGATTAAAAATTGATGTAATATTAAATAAAATAGGTTAATATGTGCCTGTGATAAATTAGAAAAGTAATGTTCTTACGAAAGGGTCGTCCTACATCTTGTTTGTAAACAAAAATGCAACGGAACAAAAAAGAAATAATTTTACCTGCTTGTAGCACATTATTTTCATAATAGAATATGCAGAGCTACAAACTAACAGCGCATTTCCTTCGAGCCTAGAGCTTTGTTATAGCTCAAAGAGTAGAATTGGAATCTTAAAATCACTTTAATATAGTCCGGCTCCCTTTAAAAAAAATCTCATTAAAGATAATTAGATATCATTAGATGATTCAAATCAACTGATTCCTATCTCTCCTTCGTTTTGTGGAAATCACAACTTAACACAAAAATTATAAGATAATCCCTTATTAGAATATTGAACCCATTTGAGAGACAAGGGACACATTCAATTAATTACGTTGTTAGGCCCAGAAGTAATCATCGTTTCAAATTTCCTATAAATCTCCAGATCTCTCAATATAGGTTAAAACTAATGATTAACACAATAAAACATATTTTTAACTTTTTGTTCTGTGACAGAACTGAACTGTTGATGATTTTATGCCATATATTATTTTTACTAAACATCGTAGAATAAAAAAGAATTGTTTCATGTATCGTAAGCGTATACCTTCTATATCTAGATATACGACTGCGATAGATG